TGGTTGTGTCGGGAAGGTGAGCATCATAGAATGCCAATTTAATAGAAGAAAATATTCTTGCATTGAGAGAGTACTTGAGTGGAGGCCCAATGTCTTTCTGCTACCTTAATACTAAACCTATAAATATATGCACATAGATCTATTTCCCCATCCTCACATATAAATATATTTGCATATGTACATATCTTTATCTAGACCTCTATATATGCCCTTTGCCTCCCAGCTCTTTCCTCTATTTCCCTTGGATCTTCCTCTTTTTCGCTGCCCCTCTATTTCACTGAGCATGATGTCCTTCTCCAAGAATTGGTCTCTCCTGACATGTCCAAAATATGTGCCATCCTTGCTCCTGAGGAGCATTGAGGCTGTCCTTCTTCCAAGACAGGTTTGCTTGTTCTTTTGGCAGTCCATGGTACCTCCAATATCCTTCGCCAGCAGTAGCATTCAAATGCTTCGATTCTTTTTCAGTCTTTCTTATTCAATGTTAACTTAAAAAAACAAGGAGGTTATATGATCACGACATAAAACATTGGAGAATCATGTAGGCAGAATGCTGGAGCTGGATTGATAACATGTAGAAATTGAGAAAGAACATGCGTTAGTAATCAGCCATAAAGAGCTCATTTTTAAGCATCTTTAGCTTTGTGGAGGGGCTTTCTACTCCCCAAAAAGTTAGGGTTGGAAACTCACAAGGGCAGTTCTACCGTTGTCCTGCAGGGTACCTCATCCACTGGATGGAAGGGAGTTGGGTTTGGGTTTTTAGCGTTGTGGGTTACACATTGGGCTGCCAATGACAAAGACAGCACCTGGAATCCACAAGCCACTTCCAGAGAGAAAAAGGAGGCTGCTTGTAAAGATTTACAGCCTTGGAAACCCTAGAGAGTAGTTCTGCTCTGTTCTGGAGGGTTGGTAGGAGTTGGAATCAATCAGCTGGTTGGCAGGAGGAGTTTGGCTTGTAACTTTTGGGGTTGGCAGGAGCCTCCAGCTCAGTAGCCAGCTGAAGAGAGGGTGATAGGTCAGGGTGGGAGATGTGCAGTTCATTCATGTGGAGGTAGAAAGGAAATTACAAAAAACAAAGAGCCCACACAGACTCAGGGCTGACCTGAGAAGTATGGAGAAAGGAGGCTGGTCTCAGAGACCAGGCTCAACTATGGAGGCGAGAGCTGGACATTCTGGTGTGTGAGATCCAGAGGTGTAGCAGGCTGAGAAGAAAGGGGAATTTTTTTTTTTAAAGAAGAGATGAAAGGTCAAAGGTGACTTCCTAGTTGAGAAAATCGGCTTTAAGACATCAGTTAAAACAGTATCTAGAGGAGACAGAGAAACTCACAAACACCAAAGACATACAGTCCCAGAAACTCACAGGGCAGTTCTACCCGGTCCTATAGGGTCGCAATGAGTTGGAATGGACTCGAGGGCAGTGAGGAAACATGGGAGCGAACTGATGGAATCTTCTTTGGACGAGTCGCTAACGTGAGAGACAACTCGACTAGGTGCTGACACACAAGAAAACCCGTAGCGGATGCAAGCATTGCCCATGCCTTTGAGTCCATTCTTTTATGAACGACTACAGCGTTGGGTTGGTTTTTGGTTTTTTGCCAATGAAAACAGAACAAGGAGAATCCCGTTACACGTACAGAGATGGAGATTTAGGTGAGAACCAGGGGAACAACTCCGTAGTCCATTAAGAGACGCAGGGGGACAATAGAGAGATGGGTATGAAAGATCGATTTCCCGGAGAGCCCGCTAATAATAGGCTCCATCTGTCTGTCCTGGCTCGTCACAATGAACGGATGTCTCTTTTCCAGGAGCCAGTGGGCTAGATTCGACAGCCTTTCCTGCCACGACAGCGCTAGGGTGCGCACCTTGGGGGTGGGGATGGAGGAGGCGAGGAGCCGTGGGCCTCTCCGCGGCGCGGGGTAGGGTGGCGCGTCCCCTTTAAGAGCGGAGGCGCGGAGGCGATGCGCGCTCCGCTGGCTAGCCCGAGCCCCGCCCCTTTCCCGTGAGCCCTCTGGGAGTGGTCTGGTCGCGGGCAGCCGCGGGTGAGGAGCTGAGGAGCGGACGGGCAGGCCAGGGGTGGGAGGTGAGGTATGGCGCGGCGCGGCTGGCGACGGGCGCCCCTCGGCCGTGGGCTGGGCGGCCCCCGGACTCGCGCGTTCACGCGACCCCTCTGCTTGCTCCTGGTAGTGGGTGTCGTTGGCTGGGCCCGGGCTTCGGACGGCGCTGGCCGAGCAGCGAGAGCCATGGACGAGGAGATCGTGTCCGAGAAGCAGGCTGAGGAGAGCCACCGGCAGGACAGCGCCAACCTGCTCATCTTCATCCTGCTGCTCACGCTCACCATCCTCACCATCTGGCTCTTCAAGCACCGCCGGGCCCGCTTCCTTCACGAAACCGGCCTAGCGATGATCTATGGCAAGTGCCTCGGCCCCCCGCGCCTGGCCCGCCGTCCTTGGCCTACTCGATCCCCGACGCCTGCCATTTTCAGCCTCGCCCTCCACCCCTACCTCTCTGTCTCGCCCCATTTTCCCACCTCATCCTGAATCCTCCATTTGGCACCCCTTTTTCCCAGTCTCTCCACCCCGTTGCTCTTCAGACCCCACCCCCTTCTCTCCCCCGCCCCTGCTGTGGCGCTGCCCCCCACTTCCCCGACTGAGGGTGGGAGGGGTGTGGGTGCCCAGGCTCGACTCCGGGGGAACTGGGGGCTGGGGGAGGGGAAGACATCATTTCCATCCATTTCTCCCTTTGTCATTTAGTGAAAGGCCCCTGGAAACTGCTGTAGTCGCTCTACTGTACAGACCCTGGCGTTTTGGGGGGCCCACAAGCGACCTTTACCCATTACCCAGCTCTTGCTACACCCTGCCCTTCGAAGGGCGACTCCTGCGGCGGCCAAGTAAAAAGCCAATGGTGAAATTTAAAGTGGAGGGGCATTTCCCCAGGCACAGGGCCCTTGGGCCGTGTGTCTGGAACATCAGATTCTGGTTATGCCTGGTCGACCCTTCTGATGGTGCGAGCAGAAGTGAGAACCAGGAAGAGTTTGTTCTCCCCATAGGGGCTTGTGCTGGAAGATTTGGGACAGTGCAGCCAAGGAGTAATTTAAACCAACACGCAGATGCAGGCTTTTTGTTGTCATGAGGTTATTGGGGGGGGGGGTCAGTCAAGTCACTAGCTTCACAGCTCTGTTGACTTTCTTTTTTGAGGTTCTTTATTAATGTGGATTTTGTGGTCATGGGAGAGAATGGTCAAGCAGCTCAGGGGCTCTGAGCCCTTTGGAGCTAGGCTCTGGTGAGGAAACAGATGCGTCAAGTGGACTGTCTTAATGGAAGATGACCGTGAGGGTATAGTAGGAGAGACAGGGCGAGGGCGGAAAAGCCCTTTCAGTACCGCTCCTGAGTGAAGGTTGTTTATCTTCATTTAGAACAGATTTAAATGGATGAGCTTGTAGAGGTTGATGTCTCAGACTTGCAAGTCGATTGAAGCAGCTTTGGCACAAAAAGACATCTCTCCACGTCCCCCACCCCCTTTCCAGTAGATACAGGCTTCTGGAACATGCGAGGAGAGGTAGTTGTACGTGTGTGGGGGGGTGCTTGTGTACGCACGCATGTGTGGAGTGGAGGGAGAGCATCAGGAAAACACAGAAACCCAGGCAGATCTCACATTTTTAAGATTGGATGCAAACTACATGCTGCTCACTAGGATTCCTGGTTCGAGTCAGATTTGGTGGTTTGTATATTTCATAATTTTGAATGGAATTCACAGTGCCCGGTAAGTACATCATCCTGATAAGTTACACATTTCTAGATAGGTTCTCGATATAACAGCAAGCATTTACAAGCAGCCTATTATGTATTGTATACAGAAAGCACAAAGAGCTATAGGAGCCTTGCATTCAGGAAACATCATTCTTCCTGGGTAGATAGGGTATTCAGATATGTCTGTCTATATATGAGCAGCCCTGATGGTATAGGGATTACTCACTGGGCTGTGATCTGCATAGTCAGCACTTTGAAACCACCAGCAGCTCTGCAGTTTTTCTAATTCTAGGTGTTTGCATATTTCATTATAATATTTGGCTTTGTGTTCTTGAAATTTTTTATTCACAGTCACAGGGGGTTGCTTTGAGTCAGCATCGACTCAACGACAATGAGTTTCGTTTGAGAGTTTGGTATATATATGTCTGTATGTATATATATACACACACCAAAAAAAACCTCTCACTGCCATTGAGTCGATTCTGATCTAAATGACACCTTAAATTTGATTAGGAGCCAAAGGGATAGTCAAAACCAAACTCACTGCCATCGAGTTGATTCCAACTCAGCAACTCTATAGGGCAGGGTAAAACTGCCTTGGTGGCTTTCTGAGATTGTAACTTTTTGAAAAAATCATTTTATTGGGGCTCGTACAACTCTTATCACAATCCATACATCCATCCATTGTGTGTCAAGCACATTTGTACATTTGTTGCTCTCATCATTCTCAAAACATTTGCCTTCTACTTGAGCCCTTGGTGTCAGAGATTATAACTCTTGATGGGAGTAGAAAGCTGCATCTTTGACCTGAGGAGCAGCTGGTGGTTTCGAACAGCTACCTTGCAGTTAGTAGCCCAGCACATTACTCATTACTCCTAAAGGAACGCAGCATTAAAATAGAATTGACTGCAGGTTACTTCTTTTGTATGTAGAGAGGTAGTATGATTTAGTAGTGGTCAAAGGTGTAAAGCGTTAGACCAGAGATGGGCTATTTGTTTTCCTGTAATGGGCCAGATAGTAGATATTGTTGAGTTCCTGGGTTACATTGGTCTCTTAGGTCTCTCTGTTGCATTTTCTTTCTTTCTTTTTTTTAAGCCACCCTTTAAAAATGTAAAAATTATTCTTAGTTCCCAGGCCATAGAAAAAGTAGGCCACAGGCCAGTTTGCCATTCTCAATGCAGACTGGGGTCCCTGTCCTTGTAGGCCAATAGTTGTATATAATCTAGGGAAAGTTCCTTATCTTCTAAGTAACCCTCGTCGATAAATTAGAGACTGTAATAGTAAGATTATTGTGAGGAAGAAATGTGCTCAGGTTAGTATTTGACCTCTCCATCAAACAAACGCATTGCCATTGAGTTGATTTCAACTCATCAGTGAATTGGACTGCTAACCAAAAGATCAGTTCGAAACCACCAGCTGCCCAGCAGGAGAAATATGAGGCTTTCTATTTCTACAAAGGTTAACAATCTCAGAAATCCACAGAGGCAGTTCTGTTCTGTCCTGCAGTGTCACTCTGAGCTGACCCCTGCATAAATCCTCAATAAATTACACCTGTGCTATGGTTATTATTGCTGGCATAACTCTATTTTCTCTAGTTAAGCTTGAGATAATTCTTTTCATTGGTTGGCCTTCTAAGTTAAGATGGAAATAAAGAGTTAAAAACAAATAGGAATTTAGAGTGATCTCGAATATATGTGCTGTTTGGTAGCTGTTATGTTTCACCTCCTTTAACTTTCAGAGTGAAGTAGAGATAGAAGATTACCATATATACTTGTATATAAGCCGAGTTTTTCAGCACATTTTTAATGCAGCTTTGTGGTAAAAGTAGGTGCCTCGGCTGATATTCGGGTCGACTTATACTCGAGTATATACGGTACTTGGTTGTATTTCCTGACGTTTCTAAGTTAATAAAAAGTGAGGGAGTTGCACCTCCCAGGGACTCCTTGCTGTACATGTAAAACAAAAACCAAAACCATTGCATCAAGTTGATTCCAACTCAGCCTTTTTTAATCCTCAGGACCGTCCAGTGAAGTGAAGGTTGTTATGACTTATCAAAAGCCAAATACCCAAACTCACCACTATCGAGTTGATTCTGACCCATAACCATATGTAGGGTTTCTGAGACTGGACATCTTTACGGGAACAAACAGCTTCATCTTTCTCCCTCAGAGCGGTTGGTGGGTTTGAACAGCCGACTTTGCAGTTAGCAGTCCAACACCTGACCCATAGTGTCATCAAGGCTCCTTTCACTTCCTTATAAGCCACCTAAAATTTTCATGGAGTATCATGACTCAGTGAAATTTTCTGTCTTGCTAGAAAAGGAACTGAGGTTTTCAGAAGTGCTAGGTAATAGTTGTCAAGGCTCCACAGGTAATATCAGAGCTCCTATCTTTTCGGCCTGTGCTCATTCATCTACACCACAGACCTCCGGCTGGGCCAGAAGAAATCTCACTTGCAACTGCACGGGAGGATTTCCCTTCCTTTGGCTTACGATTTTGATTCTTGTCAAACTATAAATCCTCTGGGATAGATAACACTAAGCTTTTATCAGGCCATGTGCTTTCATATAAAATGCATTTTGAATTTCTTCGTTAGAGCGGCTTTTTGATGGGCCCATGAGCATGAGGGCAGTGGTAATGAAAATATAGGATTCCCTGGATGGAGAGAGAGTAGGTTGATTTGAAAAGAGAGTAAGAGGCTGAGGCACCAATGATGAATTTTATATCACAATGTTGTGGAAAGTTCTAGATGTTGGGATAGTAAAGTCAAGAATAGACCATGTGTCCGTGCAGCTGAATTTTAAGGTTTGGATGATTGAAGGCCAGTGAACATTGTGCTCTTGGAAAGAGCTGTCTAGAAGGGATCAGACTGACTCCAGCAACGGGAAAATTTGGGCAGGAAGCTAATGAATGTTAATGGGGGAGGACCAGTTTAAAGCAGGAAGGTGAGAAGGGTTGCACCTTGAGGAATGTAATCAGCGTCACTAAATTGTACACTCAGAAATCATTGGATTACCACATGTTCTGCTCCATATATTCTCAACCACTGGGGGCAGGGCATTTACTCTCCGACTGACTCCCAGATCTAGTTTAAGAAAAGATGGGATTGGGCCAAAGTACTTTCAGTAGCACAGAAATTGAAATGTTGTAATCCTAATGACTGACCGTCATTTACTTTTAGGAATCTTTCACCATCCCAGCCATTGTGTTATGTTATTTGAGACCTTTCTTTTCTGCTTTACTTCCAGGTGAATAAGCTATTTACTCTGGGAATGCCTGGACTTCTAGGTTTCAGCCCACTGGTGGCTTTTTTTTTTCCAGGTTAGCAACCTAAATCCTGGAAATTTGCTGTTGTTATCAGCCTCTCATTTCTGTTTCAAAAAAGCAACCATAAAAATGTGTAAATGGCCCATGTGGTCAGTTTCTCGGTGTAACACATACAGACTTAGACTTATTGTTCCACTTACAAGCATACCATCTCAAAAGCTCCAAAGTGCTCTGTCATTTGGCTTGCTTTCTTAAGCATAAAAGTGAGTCACTGGTAGTAAAAGTTTCCCAGGTAGGTAAGTCTGAAAAAAGATCACCACTGTAGTGTGCTTACAGATGGTATAGAAAACAATAGATAGAGAACAAATGGTTTGGGGGTTTTTTGGGGGGGCGGGGG